CACCCACTCTTCGGTTCATACTTCCCCCTAAAATTCCCCCATGAAACTTCTAAAATGAGTTTCATGCCATGTATTTGTTTGATAGGCACAGAAGGTTTACAGCTGCATGGTCAGTAAGCAATACTTTGGTCATGAATTATATATATATATACATATATTTGTAATGCTGGGAAAAAGAGAGACTGATGTGAAAAGTGAAAATTCCGGTGGAATGAAGAGAAGTCATTGAGATTTTTTTCAAACAGAATGAAAATAAATAAAATATCATTATCTTCAAAGTCAAAAATTTTTATGTTATTCCATTATGAAAGACATTTATTGAGTAATTTGCAAATGTTAATAAGCCTTAGAAACTAGGAAAAGATGAGTACCAGTTTATGACTTGCATTTAATTTTTTCCAGCCTTTTATATCCTGGATTTAAAGTAACACAGAATCTTTCAGTGTCAACAGTGAGCTGGAAATTAACCTATAATAACAAGTTTGAGCATTTTGCTACTCTAGGTATAATTTGGTAATTCATAATTAATATACTATGGAGAAGCCAGTAATGATGTATTCTATATACTTGTTATGAAAAACTGATTCCAGAAATTATGTGATTTTACTTGAATAATTACCATCTTACTTCTCTATAATAATCATTGCGAGAGCAATGGGCATTAGATGGCTGAAAAGTTACTCCAGGCAATAATTAGGCAGATGTATTAAAATTTAAGTTGAGGCTAGAAGATCAACTTAATCAAACCCTTAGGAAGTAATATCATGTTGTCACATGACAGTGGTAGAACAGGAAATTATAGATACATTTGAGGCTGGAGTTTTCTGATTTCCCTTATTGTCTTATGTCTGGGATGGTCTAATAAAGGACATAACTACCACACACACATAAAGTGCGAATGCCTTTTTGATACACTGGTGTTTCTGAATACCTCAAAACAGTGATATTAATAATTCAAAACCGCATAGAAATATTGGTTCAAGAAATCAAACTTCAACTGTTGCATCTGATCAGTACGACTGCAGTGAACTAGAAAGCCTTCCTAGGTCAGGGAGAATTTTGAGTAATTTTTCCTCTCATAAATAAAATTAACAGATCCATTCCAACAGAGCAAACAACACAGACATGCAGTGATGTATTATGTTTCAGACACATTCTTCAGGCAAACCCTTTCTAGTTCCCTTTTTAAATAGAATAGAAAATTGGAGTTGAAAATTGATAGAGTATTATTGATCCTATGTACTTGCAAAGTCTGGTTTGAGGATTTTATTGTATTATAATGATCAGTTACATGCCTGGACTCTCACTACTTGCATGGTTCCAGCAGGTGTTCAATAAAATTTCAGTGAATTGAGCAGTTAAAGAAATTAAGAAATAGGGAGATGAATCAAAGTGCCCTGTAAAATATAAAATGCATCACAAACAAGGTAATAGGAGTATAGAAAAGCTAACACCACAGACCTTGTACTATCTGCCCAAAAAATCTCCTAAGGACAAAAATGTTGTAATAGTTTGAAGAGCAAATAAAAATTGCAGTTACATATGTGGTCAGAAAATCAGCTATACAGATCATTCATTTTCAAATACATTTGGGAGGAAATAAAACAAAGGCAGAAAAATTTTACATGGCCAAAATAAATTGTATCGCTAACTTAGATAGCCACAGATGGGGGCAGGGGTGAGAAAAGAGAAATTCAAAACCCAACAGAGACCCCACAATGGCTAGGGTTTGAAATCTCTGCATGTTATAACCATAGCAGCCTTCTGAGGTCAGCAACAAGATAGAGAACGATTGAGCCAATATTCTATGTTACAGGACAGAGCAGAGTGTCAATAAACCAAATAAAGTTAGCGTTGAGTGGACTGTGCTGTCTAAGCTGCTTGGTTGGTCTTGGTGCTGACATTTAAGAGATGTGGGCAATGAGAATTGAAACAAACATTTAAGTTCAAGACCCAGTTTACAGACACTGAGATTATTACTGTATCTCTTTGGGCCTCAGTTTACTTATCTGTAACATTAAGAGGTTTGATTACATGATGTCTCACGATTCTTTTTTTTATTTAGAGATGAGGCTCTGCTCGGTGGCTCAGGCTAGAGTGCAATGGCACAATCATAATTTACAGCAGCCTCTAACTCCTGGGCTCAATCGATCCTTCCACTTCAGCCTCCAGAGTAGCTGGGACTACAGGCATGGGCAACCATGCCTGGCTAATTTATGTATATACATAATGAAATATATGATATAATTTATATCTTCTCTATTGAATATACATACATATTTTATATATATATATATTTGATAGAGATGGGATTTCACTATATTGTCTAGGCTGCGTCTCCTGTGATTATGGCATATGATGCTGATGTCAAAAGTGGGGTTGTAGGTGGTAAAGTAAAAGCAGGAGTAACCCTATGGAATTTAGTATAACATGTTATAATGAAACACCTGAAAAATACCTAAAGACATACAAACTAAAAGACCATTTCACAGGAGGAAGAAATTATAACCAGAGAATAGAGTTTTGAATTCGTCTTATTTAAATATTAATTTCCTATCATGGAATGAGAGCATCCTGAACCAGTCCGTGGATTCTAGCAAAACCTTTTCTTAAGTGGGCAACAGACAATAGGGACATGATCAAATTTATACTCCTTCATGAAGATGTAACAAGAATTTATTGCCAAAAACTGATAAATGATACTAACCTTAGAATATGTATCTGGATATTAACATAATTTAAAATAATTTCATTCCCTTTATATAGCCTGCATGTGCAAAGGTTTACATTAAGTTCCAAATATTTTTATATTTTAATGCCACAGCTTCTTACATTAGTGTTATAGTGATAAAATAAATATGAAATTATTTATGTTTGAGACATTGCCTTCTAAATAGAAGCCTCTCTTTGCTGTTAAGTGTAAAATGGGAAATCATAAGAAACTAGAGAAGCTAAGTGGGTCTTTGCAATAAAGAACTGAGCCAGTTGAAGGATATTCATAGGCAATGTTGGCATAGGACTGGAGAAAGAGATGGGATGGATGTCATCGGGGGCAAATACCAGAGAAGGAATTCAGATGGGCAGAAAAGAAACTGAAGCAATTTTGCTTTGTGTTTTGAACACATTTTATTTTGGCACTTTCTCAAGATAGGTGATGGACTGATTGTCTTTGAATACTTTTTGGACTGATGAACTATTCTTCCTTTGAGTGCAAATTTGTGCTGGTACTGGACTAATAGATGTACTTTATATGGGTTACAATGACGTAAGGTTTTTAAGAATCTGTACATCTGTACATTTAATCAGGTTGCATAATAATCTTGCAAGAAAGACAGGGGAAAAAAATGGTTTTCTTTTCCAGAATTGCAAATTGAGACTCACGGGGGTTGAAGTGATTTTCCCAAGATAACACAGTGCGGTCTCAAAGCTGTGTCAGCTAGTATTTTTTTCATTACTCCATGGGGCCTCTCTAAGATCAAAAATGCTTGGATATGCCCAAGAGCTACCAAATCTTTTTTCTTTCCTCCTCTTCCCTTTTCTTCAAGGATAAGGAATTCGAAGGTAACACCTCTACAGAATTGTTCATTAAAATTTTCTTCAAACATGTAAGTGTTTCTTCTTATCCAATCTGGCAGCCACAAGCCAGGTGTGACTATTGAGCTCTTGAAATGTGACTGGTGTGACTGAAGGATTACATTTTAAATGTAATTTTAATTAATTTTAATTTCAAAAGCCACATTGGCTAGTGGACATATTGGACAGCACAATTCTAGAAGCTATATGTGAAAGATTAACAAATCTAGAAGCTATATGTGAAAGATTAACAAATGCCCTTGATACTTTAAACTAAAATAGTAATTGGGGGTCAACTGACTTTACCTTTAGTTTTCTAGGTGTTGGTATATCTTGAAGTTCAAACCTTGCACACACAAGCCACCATTTATGGTCAGTGCCATCTGTTAGGCTTAACCCATTTATGCCTGAGGTGGTAATTTCTCGAATTTTTGTAATCAGACCTTGGTGATGACCTTGGGCAGTAGGATATAAATAACTCCTACAAGCCTAGTGTTCCAGTAATGGAACAGTAGACATAAATAGGTCAAGATATTTTTCTTGACTTTCAGTATCTTTACCTAATCACTGATTATTGATTTTTTTTTTTTTACAAACAATTAAACTGAAATAACTAAATTCCTCTGTAGCACCATTTATCTGATTTCTCCAGTTGTGTCTCTGCTATTTTTACGTTGTTTGTTATTGTTGTTCTTTCTGCTATGTTCATAGTATATTAAGGAATCTATACCTGCATCTTCTCTAATACATAATATATGTAAAGTCCAAAGCATTGATAACCATTTTGAATTTTCAGAAACTGTATATCTGTTTTCTCAAATGGGCACAAGAATAAACCAGAAATATAAAATAGAATAAAAGTTTCATGAAAGAAAGGTATTGAGCCAACATTTCCCCTTACCACTAAAGAATTCATATACAACACATTTCTTACTACCTTTAACTCTTAGTTCTGTTAAGAAGTTTTCCCACACTCTAGTTCCAGAAAGTTTTCTCTATTATTTGGTGCTTTTGGCTCACTGAACAATTCAGGGCTTGTAACTTTTTACAGAATTATCAATTGTTTTGAATCAAAATAGAAGATGAATGCTGAAGGGTATAAGAATAACACTACCATGTAAGAATTAAGTAGTACTTAAGGGACACAAACTAAGGATATGCCTGCAAGGTTTATATAACTGTCAATCCGTTGCTATTGGAAGCCACAGCTACCAAAAAAGCTAGTTGAAGCAGCATCATTTTATCCTAAAAGGAAGTCATCTTTGTGTTCTTTATGCATTTGTAGAATACCAGTTGCACCAGTCATATTGGCAAGTCATTTGGTTATTGCTGTCTGACCAAACCTATTCCACAAGAATAAGCGGGGATACTTCAACTAAACCAAACACAGCTGCTGCAAAGATTGTCATCACAATCCTTCAGTCACCTTGCTTTTCAATTTTCTTTTTGCAATAATTAACTAAGTTGCTTAGGAAAAAGTTACCACCTTCATCAAACACTTAAAGTTGTAAAGCAATATATTTGGAATAGAAAATGGCATTGGTTCAGGTCAGACACTCGTGATGATCAAGTACGGTACTCTGTGAGTGGACTAATGTCCAAGGCAGATGTATACAGATGCTAAGCTGCTAGGAAAATGCTGTTTATGAAACATCTCTGCTTCTTGAGACCTGAATCTGCAAATTGTTGAGCACTGTACCTTCAAAAGCTAACAGTTTCTTGGCACAGAGTGTAAACGTTTCATTTGGTTGGGATGTTGGTGAAGCTGTACACTCAGTACCTGAATTTGGACTTTAGGAGCTCAGTATATATATTAACCACTTTCCTCCTCAAGGGATGCCTTTCCTTTCTTCATTCATGGGAATCTTCAAAGTCAGGATTGTGATTCCAGGGCAATAGATAGCTCCATTTAAGGAACTTTCTGCATCCACTTTAGCCAGAGAGGGAAGGGGTTGACATGAATGAAAAAGTGTATCAAATAGTCAAGAACATGATGAGTGTGGCAATGACTGAACCACTTTTGCTGAATGACAGAAAAATATTCTAATATTAAGGATTATTTTACAACTCTATGGAAGTAATGCAGCGATGCATCCTGCATCTGTTTTGTCTTGATGGCAAAATGCACTCTTAAGAGTCACAAGATCCTGCCTTGTGTTAGTTATAAACAAAAATATATTTATATATATATATATATTTATGTAACTATGTGCTTTAAAGAAAATTACTGTATGATTCAGCAGGGTTTTTCATTCTTTTTATCGCCATGCTGACGTGAATGGCTTCTGAGACAGGAATCGGCAATGAAATGGGTCTTTAGTACAGAAACGGCATAACATGAAAAATAACTCCAAGTTTAAAATCCCTTAATATTTTTGTTTCAAAAATGATTAAGGAACTCTTCATATTGTTTCCTTTTGTTTCCGTCAGCCCAGAGCAACTGTGGTTTCATGGGACTTCTCAGTTGGGGAATGGAGGTAAGGCTTCCATAAAGCATAAATCAGATGTTTCTACTGAGGCAGGAGTACAGAAAGCCCTGTTTCCCATTCCCTCTTCCCAGATCCTTAGCTAAAAGTTTGGAAATTTTGTCACAGCTCATAAAAAGGTCATTCATTACCAAAGAAGAGACAGACATAGTCTGAACCTCCTGTATCAATAAAAGGATTCATCCTGTAGAGTCATGAACTTGTTTGTACAGATAGATCTAGACCAGAAAAACATCATCCTTTTGCCACACATTTGTTTTGAAAATATAGAAAATCTCTTATTTGTGTTTGTTTTCACTCCTGCATGAGCTGTTTTTCTTAGCCATCTTCAAACATTCATCATTGCTCTTTTGAGTGAAAAGGTTCAGGCTTTGGAAAACAGTTATCTTTCAGACATCAGAGAACATCTGAATCGAGTGTCGATCCCTCATGAACTAAAGCTTTATTATGATTTTTTTACTGATCCCTTTGCGACCCTGCACCTAAGCCAAAAGCATTATAATCTTGTCATACTTCAGGTAAGTCCACAGGAGATGTTCCGAGTGAACTATAGATGACATTCCACTAGGGAATTCTATGTTCAGTCTAAATGGTATCTTGTATAAGTTTTAGTTTTTTGTTTACCCTTCCTGGGCTGGGCTTGTCCAGAAATCTTGTCTTCTTCAGGCTACAGCAGCTTAGAGCTTGTTTGTGTGTGTGTGTGTGTGTGTGTGTGTGTGTGTGTGTGTGTGTGTTTGTCTTAAAGGTATAGGCAAAATATTAGTCTTAACACCTGTAAACCGGTACTGGTGCTGTTCTGTCCTAGAAATTTTAGCACTGCTCTGATACAATAAAACCTTCTTTCTCTCCAACTGGTTCAACTTCAGCATAGGCAGGATGTCCAGAACCTCTTCTAAACTTCATTGCAGGCCACCTGCTTGGGCGTCTCTAAAACAGAAAACACAAAAATAAAAAATGTTCATTAGAGTGAGATTCTATCACCAGAAAAATATATTCGACAGCTATTTTAGATTAGATATTGAATTAATTAACATGTTACATCATCTCTTATGACAGCTACAGTCAGAATTAAGTGTTCCCCTTATCAGCCCTCCAAGCCCTGTGCTTGCATTCTAGGATGGCGCTATCTACCCTCATCACAGGATAGACCATTTGTCATACCTGCCCTCGAAGGATTCAAAGCTTCTCCCAACCAACTTTTAATGCCTTATGCATATTCCTGGAAAATACTGGCAAAAATAAACTGTCATAAAAAATATTTCAAAATATATGGCCACAGACACTCTTTCTTCTCTACTAGTCAATACTGCTATCACTTTATTTTGCTCATTAATTCACTCAAAAACTAAGGTCATAAAACTCTGCTCTGTTCCTAGAAGCATGTTTCCAACAAGGCACCGGACTCCCTAGCAAATGAGCTAAAATAAATATTTAATATTTTAAGAAATTATTTATTTAGCTAAGCATACCCATATATGATTTTTGTGCTCGAAAATGAAAGCTGTTATAGCCTAAAAATGGAATCTATGACTAGCGGTGTGGCCAATCTTGAGCTTATGAAGCAAACATTACACAATAGATACTAGTCCTAAAATACATGATATTTGTATTGACAAAAAGAGAGCATTTCTCTTCAGCATTCTGTCCATCAACACACTTTCTGTGATTTACAAATAGATGTGCTGAGTCATAGCAGCAAAAGGCACTAAAATGCATTTCCCAAGCCACAGTGACACTAGAAACTATTACTTTATTTATTAAAGTGCCTGTAATTTGGGGGTAAATAAGACAATAAATATCAAAGGAAGTTTATTTCTATCTAAACAATTCTAATGCACAAAAGGCTAAATATCAGTGTACACATACTGGCATTCGGTATCTTTCTAGATTTTTCAATCACATGCCAATGTCAATGATTAATGGCTGTGAACGTTTTTCACATCAGGTAGGGATCAGTATTAAGCTCCACATTCCAGAAAAAATACCAATCAAGATAATTACATTCTGCCTACTAATAATATTATGTGCTGTTTCTATAACATTATGTGGTCAGAATGCCTTAAATTTATTTGCTGATTAAGTCCCATTAAGTGAAACTGAATTATCCCTATATTCCAAAAGAAAAATTTAAAACTAAAGAGAGGGCCACATAGCAAAACAGGGTGTCTGTGGTGGGGATGAAGTCATCAACAACAAAAACATACTAAGCACCTCTAGGGAGGTGGGTACCACAGCATGGTTATGCCTGTTTGGAGGGGAAAGATGACATTTTGCATTACTCATTACTTACAGCCCCCACTCTAGTTTTAGGAACTTCACAGGTGAGCTTCTTCAAAGCCATGGCTTCCCTGGTCAAGCAGCACCACTGAGATTTTGCTCTGAATCTCCACCATTCCAAAGCCACTTGGTAGCAAGAACAACCCTGCCACCTAGCAGGAGTTACAGCCACATAAAGACATGGTGCTATACTGTTCACAATAGCCAAGATTTGGAAGCAACTGAAGTGTCCATCAACAGATGAATGGATGAAGAAAATGCTGTGTATATACACAATGATGTACTATTCAGCCATCAAAATGATAAGATCCTGTCATTTGCAACAACATGGAGGGACTGGAGATCATTACATTAAGTGTAATAAGCTAGGCACAGAAGGATAAACACCACACGTTCTCACTTACTTGTAAGATCTAAGAACAAAACAAACTCATGGAGACAGAATAGAAGGATGGTTATTAGAGGCTAGGAAGGATAGTTGGGGGGGTTGGGACGAGGTGGGGATGGCTAATGAGTACCCCCCAATAGAAAAATGAATAAGACTTAGTATTTCATAGCACAACAGGGTGACTATAGTCAATAATAATTTAATTATACACTTAAAAATAATTAAAAGAGTATTGTTGGATTGTTTGTAACACAAAGGATAAATGCTTGAAGGAGTGTATATCTCATTTTCCATGATGTGATTATGATACATTGCATGTCTGTATCTAATATCTCACATGCTCTATAAATATATATGCCTACTATGTACCCACAAAAATTAAAAATTAGAGATGAGAAAAAAGAAATTGTGCTATATGTGGCTCTTCATTAAAAAGGAGTGCAGATGATGGGGATGTTGATGATGATGCTCATGGAAGTTACATTTTAGGTGGCTTTTATTTCTTATCGCATGCTTTGTACTAGATGATTTCCATACAGGATCTCATTTAATATCCAACACTGTCCTTTACATTTTGCACAAACCTCCAAAGCTAGCAAATGGCAGGGCCAACGTATAAAATAAAAATCTACCTACTTCCAAGGTTAATTTTTCCCACATGGAAATTATTTCTTAAAATTCAATGATTTGTACATAACTTGCCCAACAACTGGGAATGTGGCTCTAGTTTTATTTCAGTCTTAACAATATACCAACAACTTTGGTATTCTGTTCATAAGTCAGAGCTACTAAATTAATAACTCTTTATTAGGTGAAAAGATTGCAGAATTATTGATAGTGTGTATCATGTGTTTTCTGAGTGTATCACAAAGGTCCTCAAAATAGAAAATGCAAATTGTTGGGTGTGAAACTTCGGGTGTTAACACAGCGTAATCATAGTTTCCAAACTACATATCTTTAAGGATTTTTTAGATTTGTAATTTTTATTTTACTAATTATAGAAAAAGTGAGTAGAAAAATAAGTAGAAAACAATATACAAATTGCTCAATGAGATTTAAAATCACTAGAGATCCCACCCCAAACACACAATTGGTTAAACCAGTGATCCCAACCGTTTTGGCACCAGGGATCGGTTTTTACGGAAGACAATTTTTTCACGGGCTGTTTTGGGGGTAGGGGATAGGGGGATGGTTTTGGGATGAAACTGTTCCACCTCAGATCATCAGGCGTTAGATTCTCATAAGGAGCACAACCTAGAGCCCTCCCATGTGCAGTTCACAGTAGGGTTCACACTCCTAGGCAGAGCTCAGGTGGTAATTCTCGCTTGCCTGCCACTCATCTCCTGCAGCGTGGCCCCTTTCCTAATAGGCCATTGACAGGCAGAGGTCCACAGCTGGGGGCTTGGGAACCCCTGAGTTACACTATCAGTGTATGTCGCTCATCCGGTTTCATGACTAAAGATGCATAAAATAGCTATCATCCAGCTACAAAATGATTCAAGACTGCTCTCTTTCAGGAAAAACTGAAAATTCATATATAATTTTTCGCTAGATTTAAAAAAGCATTTTCATAACAATATCTTAAAATTTACAATGAGGTCTAATAAATGTCATGTAACTAAGGTTTTAAACATTTGATTTCATTTCATATTCTTTTATAATCCCTTCACATCTTGGTCTTCGCCACAACAATGCTGAGCAAAGAGTAATAACTTCACCAAAATTTTCCTTTCTTTGAAATTGAAATAGGAGATGTCATCTCACATCACAAAGCAATTATGTGATTGTGAATAAATGACTTAATCTCTCTGGGCCTTTGTTTCTTCATCTGTGAAATAATAGCTAATTTGTCCTCTAATGCCTTATATTTGCTTGTCTGAGATAATGCCTTTAAATTGGAGAAAAGAAGGAAGGGGAACATCACACACAGGGGCATGTCGGGGACGTGGGGCCTAGAGGAGGCACAGCAGGAGGTGGGGGGATTGGGGAGGGATAAGATTAGTAGAAATACCTAATGTAGATGATGGGGGATGGATGCAACAAACCACCAAGGCATGTGTATACCTATGTAACAAACCTGCACGTTCTGCACATGTACCCCAGACCTTAAAGTATAATGAAATAAATAAATAAATAGATTAATAAATTAAATTTTAAAAGACCATCATTTGTAAAAAGAACCTCTTGTTCAGATTTTTCTGATCCTTGTCTCCTCTGCCTCCTTCTGCTAACTTTTAGAATTCCTGTATTTACGGAAAATCTGTATAAATCAGCCCTAACTGAAATTGATTTTCGATGTCGATCTGCATGTGTTGACTTATAAGCGAAAAGAACGAGGCAATTATTTAACAGAATAGCCATTTCATTAGCATAGACAAGTCCTTAACACTGATGCTCTAATAGGAGCCATCTACCCAGAGAACAGGGAAGGGCTTGGATGGAAGGATCTGAAAACCTGAGCCTCCTGTCCAGCCCTGCCACAAATTTGCAAGCATGATTAAGCAGTCAGGGATTTCAGAGAAGGGATATGTTGTTTTATCTCGAGGCCTAGACAGTTCCAAATCTGTGTTTTTAGAATGGCTAATTCAAATTGTTACAGAAACTCGCGTTGGCCACAGGGTCACTTGCTAACGGGGCAGGATGTATCCTCAAAATCTAAGAATTCAAACCAGACTGTTATGCTAATTCATTACAGAGTTTCAGGATATAATGTCTTAAAACATTACAGGGTACAATGTGTGGGTAATCTCTAATTTCATTTCGGAGAATTATTTACGTGATTAATCACTTTCAGAAGAAAATGTTCTCAGCAATAACGTTGGCACTGGGGTTAGCTGTGCAGGCAGGAATTCTCCCAATTCTTTTTTCAATACTACTAATTGAACAGTCATCCAGGTCTGTCTCAATGGTCTATGGCAAGATAATTAGCTAAAATATCCACAAACAAACCTGGAGGGCACCCTCAATCAGCAGTATACACAAAACTGCAGCTGGAGACCTTTCTTCCAGTTCAGAGAGCTACACAGAGAACGTTTTGTGTTGGGTTAGATGAGCACTCGAAAGGAAGTTACAGGCATGAGTATGAAAGAAAAGGGACTGATTTTGCAATTGAAGGCCCAGATAGAAAACACCGGTGGTGCATGATGGCCCTTGTCAAGCAGTCAATTAAAAATTTCCGCCATTTTGGAGCTGTCTTCCTCCACAGTGAGGAAATAGAAAGAGCCTGGGATCACTTCCCAGTGTAGGACTTGGGCAAAGTCAC